TATTATATTTATATTATATTATATTTATATTATATTATATTTATATTATATTATATTTATATTATATTATATTTATATTATATTATATTTATATTATTATATTATATGGAATAGTTTAGTGGTAACCTTTCCAACTTTTTCGAGATTTCGTAAGCATCTTCGTTTTAGGTTCTTTTTGATGCACTTGGTTGCTTACGCAGATTTCGCAATGTCGAAGAAATTTGTCAAGAATTTTTTAACACACGAAAAATAAAATATATCGAGCGGAAAGCTTTTCAAGAGGGAATGTTAAGAGCCCAATCAGAACGTCTATCAAACCAAGTAAAGGGCGAATGTTTTCTCTTATATATCTTGTTCTTGCTCTAATCTTTGGAACTTTTCTTTTTTTTTGTTTCTCTTCCTCTTATTATTAGTGCATTTGGTTAAAGATATTATAAATGATATAAAAATATATTAAAACCAAAGATAAATCATAATAGAATCGGATGCAAATATCGATATTGTTTTAGGCGAGGTTTATCTTAGCTAAAATAAAAGGAGAAATTCAAATCGAAAATAAGCGTAAAGTTGCCATTGTTGAGCAGCTTGTCAAACTAAAATTCGATCCTGATCCGGTTAAAAAATGGAAAGAGATTCAGAAAAGAAAAGAATTGGAAGCTAGTGGAGAAGTGGCAGATGAAGAAGAATCTGATGAAGTAAATCTTTTTTTTTATTCTGTGGCTTTATTCTTTTCCGTTTCACAGTTATTTTTAGGTTTTAATTCGAAGTTTTTTGAATATAAATGGAGGTCTTTTTCTCCCATTTGTCCTGTTTCAATTTGTAGGCAGTGGGAGTGGTTGATCTAATGTTATTTTTAATGTTATTTTATTGTTTTTTTGCTACCAGAAATTGCGATTGTCTAATCAGGGTCTTCGTAATATTTCATAGGTTATTAGATTCTGCGCTTATTTCTACGATTTTTTTAGGTAGAAGATTCCGGACCATCATCTCCGTTAAAAAAAGATTTGGATAAAAAGCTATCAGATTATGATTATTTGGTTGGTATGGCTATATTGAAACTATCAGAAGAAGAAAAAGATAAACTGTTGCGTGAAAGTGAATTCAAATTGAAGGAACTAAGAGTATGTTTGATACTCCTAAACTTTGAGCCTAAATTTAATTTTCTTGCATCGCTCAGCGTATGATATAATATTTTTACAGGATCTTGAAGCTACATCGTGGGCTGAATTATGGCTTGCAGACCTTGACCATTTCTTGGTCGAACTTGATAAACAGGTTTCCAATTTTATTTTGCTTTTTTTCAAAATTTGTTTGTAATTTTATTATTTTTCATTTGCAGGAAACCAGGGAAAAAGACGATTCTGATTTGCAATTGAAAAATGCAGCCAAAAAGTTAAAAAATGGCCCTACCAATAGTCGTAAGAAAAGCGGGAATCTAGTTATGGTAGGTATATAGTTATTTTTTCTAATTTGGTTAAAAATTGAACTGTCTTTTCAAAGACTGAACTTTTCTGGCATTCATTGCATCTTTAGGAGGTTCTTCCTGATCCAAATGGTTTGCGCATTGTGCCGAAAATTGATGCAATGAAAGAAAAATATGAGCAAAAGAAAGTCATCGTTGATGGGGAATCTAAAGTTCGGAAGCCACGTGTTCCTAAAGAGGCTAAGGTACCAAAGCAAGCGAAAAAAGAAGTGGATGGGGTTACTTTCGATGATTCATTTGTTCTTTGCAAATAATTTTTGTAATATTTTAATATTTTTTAGTATTTTTAATATGTTAAGTTTTTTGCTATATAGAAGCGATCGATAATCACCAACTACTTAAAGAGCGATGAAACAATGAAAAAAAAGAATTATCGTAATTCAGGTTGTTCTTTTGTAATTTATAATTTAATTTAATTTATAATTTTTCCGCAGTTTTTTGAAAGAAAAAATACAAAGATTTTTGCGAAGCAAAAAAATCAAAAATACCGATTCGATGAAAATAGTTATAGTAAAATTAAAATCCTGTAGTCTTCACTTATTTAAAATGTTTCAGATGCATGCCCGAGAAAAAAAGCGAAGAAAGATGAGTGGAATACTGATAGTGGGCAAGAAAGTGATATCAATTCTGTTCATTTAAGTAGCGATAGTGATGGCGATAGTGATTTTGAAAAAAGTTTCACCTTCAAAAGAACGACGGCACAGGATCGCAAACATCGAGTAATTGTGAATTTCTGCTATAAAATCATAGATGTATTTCCACAATAATATATATGGCGATAGGAACATTAATTAGATTGAAATTTTTGGTGGAATACCATTCATTAATTTTTATGATAATTTATGATTTTATGATATAAAGATTTATTTGAGGTTCGCTCGTTGAACTCTTCAAATCTGTTAGAGGAAATTCAAGTTTCTGGGAATACCGATTTGTTATCTGCAGCTAATGATACTTTTTTAGCGAATGATATCGGCGAAACCAATAATAAGGTTTTTTTCAATAATTTTTCTCGGACACATCTGCATATATATATATATATATATATATATATTTCAAATCATGAAATATACATTTTACAGCTATTGAACTCATCACAACAAAAAATTCACAAATTTTTTGATAAAGTACCAGCATGTTCGAAGAAATCAGTTAAAAAAGCTGTACCACGTGCGGCCGCTAAGGTAATATTTAAATCTCGAAGCATTGTTAACAATTTGAACTATTGGGTTTATATCTATTTAGCGGAAAGCAGAATCGAGAAAGGCTGCATTAGATGATGAAGGTTCGTTTAAAATAGAATCTACGATTTCGATGCCTCGTCGAGAAGGTGGACGTCAACGCGCACCAAAGAAGTATAATTTCGATGATGAATTATCAGATATCAATGATGGCAATGAGGACAGTTTTGTCGTTAAATCAATGAATAAGCGTAGAAAAAAGGTGGAAAGTGATGATGATTTTGATATAAATGAGATAGATTAAATTTAAATTTTACCTGAGTTTACCACCTGAGTTTACCATCTCTCATTTTTGTTTTATTTTATTTTGTTTTATTTTGCTTCTGTTTGTTTTGATCGTTTTTCATGTTTTATGAATTTATATTACTATAAATGTTTTTAACTGCTATTAACTTATATTTCAATTTCAAAAGAAATTTCCAGATAAAGTTTTGGTTATATTTTATTTGATTTTGATCTCTTATAACGGTAATCTTTCATTTAATGTGCGGATAATTGTGTATAAGCCTTTGTTTAAGTTAAACTGTAACTAGTAGTATATAACAACATTTCCTAATATGTCTACCTTAATGCTTTTATATATATATATATACAAATCATATATTTGATATCAATAATTTATGTTGTTTTGAAAAATCGTTTTTTTGATAAAATAACATTTTGATTTAGTACGGCAAATGAGTAAATATAATGGTAGTTAAGTCATTTTTGTCCTTTTGGTTGAAACAAGCAGCAACGATTTGAATAAACATTCATATCCGTATTGCTCTCATGAGATTCTGCGAAAAGATAACCTAATAGTGAAATGAAACCAGGCCAACCAAATCAGAATTGATGAGTTTTCCTGCATAGGGTGTTAAAGGAGGAAAGTAGATTTTCATTTTTTTTTTTGAGATGATTTTATGATGTTCATGTTGGTTTTGTTGCATTTTAATTATATTGTGCTACTAAAATTATGAAATGAAAATTCAGATAATTATTTTGTTTTGTACAAAATGCATTCCCCACAGAGAGAAGAGAAAAGTGGAAGTTCGCCTTATCACTTGTAATTGTTTGCCAAATTCCAATCATTACACGGTTTGCCTTTTCGTTCATTCATAATTATATTGATAATAAATAATGGACGAAAAATCTCCTCTTCTATCCTATTATTCATTAAAGAGGTATTTTTATTTGCTATCTTACTTTTAAATAAATTTTGAACTATCGAAGACTCGTTTTTAAAATGCAAATTCATTTTGTGCTAAGTTAGTAGCAGTATTTTGCTTCGAGTGGGTAATATATTTGAAAAAAAATGGGAAATGAATGGAGGATTGAACAATGTTGGGATTGAGATTTGACCCTACTTTTTTTAGTGTTTGATGAATGATAATTTTTGATAATTTTTTTTAGTATTTGCTGATTGGATTTTATTTACTAATTTTTTTACTGTTTTTCTAGATTTACCAACACAGGTGAACAAAACAACGAACCTAAAAAGAATTTGGTAGGCATATTTTAAATCTTTTAATAGTTGTTAGCATTTCAGCTTAAGCACTGCAAATTTGGCATTAGTTCTGATGGCACTCATCATTTTTGGTTAGTCTAGCTTTGCTGGCTGTTATTGCAATTAAAAGTTTTCGCCAAGGATTTATTTGGCCAGAATTGTAGATGAGTACTACCCAGATCTTTTAGAGACAATTTCACTTCTATCTATTGCAGGAGTGCGGTTCTTGCCAGCGCATTAATCGGGCCACTTTCTTGTATTTGCTATAGTCTTATGCATTCTTTATATAATATATGTGACTTAAAACATAATTAACAATAATTATAGTATAATAATCAAAATAATTGAATTTTTTTGAATGCTTTTTTCATTAGTATTCATTAGTATTGTTATAGTATTAGTATTAGAATTTTTCATTATTCATTAGTATTGAATAAAATACAAATACAAATTGAATTGTTTCTTTTTTCAAAACATTTGACAAGTTTAGGAATTTTTTTTATAATTTTACACAATTTAGTTTTCATTCATGGCTAGAACCGAATTTTGTTTGATTATACTTGGTACAGTATCTTCTATTATTCATGGATCGAGCTTTCCTATACTTTCAATCATTCTCGGTGGAATGACCACTGTATTTTTACGAGCTCAAAATTCCGATTTTTCAAAATTTAGTGGCACGAAGACCGTTGAAATGGGCAATAATATTGCATTAACACCGATTAGTAGGTCATTTTTGCCGTATAATTTGTATTAATTTGCTCTGTTTATGAATCTTCCAAACTTTCATTTTTATGATATTTTTTTATAACACTTTTTAAATATAAATAAAATGAAATCGACCTAAAAAATTTATCTCTAAAAAACCGAGAAATGAATGGATTTAAAAATTAATTTATGAGATAAATTTAAAATCAAATAAAAAATGCGGTTTAATACATAAATTTATGAAGAATATTAATTTTTATAGTCGATATTGTGAAAATGGATTTATAAGTAAAATTTCAGAGATGAATTCAGTTCTTCGATATCGACATACTGTCTTTATTACGTATTATTAGGATTTATCGCATTTATCTCATCTTATGTACAAGTAATGTCTAATTTTAATATTCTTTATTTTAATTTATCATTGTAAAAATCGGAATTTCGGAATAAAGGTGAGTAGTCGATCGGATTTGGCCTTTAATGGCACGTTTGTCAAGAAAGAAAAATTCATATTGTTTAACCTCAGCGGAAGCAACATACGACTGACACCTCACAATTTAATGAAAACTTAATTAATTTGATTGTTTTGCACAAAAGTGGTCTATTTTTTTCGAATATATTTCGAAATTTTATATTCGTAGTCGTAGTAGTTCAAGATAGAATTATTTATTTATTTATTGAAAACCAGCCAAACAGGGCGCAAACACCATGTGCATTAATAACAACAGTTAAAATAACAAATAATAAAAATTAATGAAAAAAGTAAAGAATAATAATAAAATAAAATTAATAATTTAAAGATGGATGAAGGAGGAAATTACGAAATAATATAATATAGCACAATTCGAAATAACTATAATCGGATGGTAAAAATCGAGATTTCGCACTTCCTGCATGATCTGAACTTTTTAAATAAATAATATTATCATAAATGATATTATCTATTCTTTTTTAAAGATAGCTAGAGATGGTGCACAAGCTATATCGTTCGGTAGTTTATTTCATCTGGCTTAGGCAAAGTTCGAAAGTCTAAATGAATTTAGATCGCATGCTGGGAGACTTTTGCTGAACGGATTACTCAAAACATTAGACAGAGTTATTTAAAGGCCGTTCTTCGACAACAAATTGCATGGTTCGAGGAACAACGAACTGGGAATTTAACTGCTCGTCTCACCGAGTAATTTTTTCAATTGTTTTATATCATCTTATAAGCGATTCTTAATTGGCCAAAGTTATCATCTTTATGTTTTGAACAATTTTAAACAATTTAAAATTTCTGCTAACAGCAACGGTTTTAGTGATTTAGAGCGAGTTCGAGAAGGCATTGGAGATAAAATTGCTCTCCTATTACAAAATTGTTCAACTTCTTTGACTGGTTTTATCATTGGATTCACCATGAACTGGAAGATTACATTGGTATTATTTCATTTGTCATTAAAAGTGCAAAAATTGATATTAGTAATTAATCTTTAAAAAATTACCGTAGTTTTTTCTGAGAATTTGGCAAATTTATGAAAAATTTGTTAAAAGTGTAGTGAAAACTCGAATATAGTAAATTTTTAATTAAATTTAAGAACCTCTTTTTCTGCACTAATTTTTTAACTAATTACTAATTTAAAGAAGCATTTAAAAAAAGAATTCCTTCATAAGGTAATAATGATATTCACACCATTAACTGTATTTACTGGAGCATGGATGGGTCGTACAACTGCTTCGAGGACTCGTATAGAGCAAGAAAAATATGCAATCGCTGGTGCTATAGCTGAAGAAACGTTTAGTTCTATTCGTACAGTATTATCATTAAATGGTGCTGATCAGCAGATTAAAAGGTAAATTTTCCTTTTCCCTGCTTTTTTTTCATTATTTCCATTATTTCTTCGTGTTCTATCATATCAAACATATTTCGGATTTTAGTTACGAAAAAGCATTGGAAGATGGGCGTCGGACAGGTCTTGTTAAATATATGTATGTGGCTATTGGCATGGGCTTAATGCAACTTAGCCTTTTTACATCTTATGCGCTCGCATTCTGGTGAGAATTTTGTATAATCTAAGAGGTATAGTGAGAATATCGTTCCACATTAATCTCACTATAATATAAAGGAGAGGGAAACATCTTAAATACTTGAAAAAAATTTGGCAATTCTTTATATTTTCATTTTATATTTTCATTTTTCATATAACCATTCTGTTTTATCCTGAATTGATAATAAATGCTATTAGAAATATTCAAATCTAGGTTTGGATCAATTTTGATCATTAATGATAACACATTCGACAGAGCTGTCATATTTTCCGTAAGTTCATTGAAATTTCATGTAATTTGCTCGAAATCATTTTCGCTGATAACAATTTTTGCTTTTTAATTTTTTTTATACTCTTTTTTTATATAATTTGAATAAATCAATTGATTAGAAAGAAATATTTCTATTTTTAATTACTTGTTCAAGGTGCTTTTTGCTGTAATGTCTGGATCAACTGCTCTTGGAAGCGCATTACCTCAATTTGCCTCATATTCTACGGCACATGGTGCTATTAAAAAAGTTTTTGAAATAATCAACAGAGTAAGAAAAAATTTTGCAATGGCAATTTACTTTTTTCTGTCTTTCTATCTTTATCAGCAATCTTTCTTAGGTTACACGAAATAGAAAGTATAACTCGATTCATCTAAAGATATTTCTCGTCTAAAGATATTAATAACAATGAATGATGCATTTAATTGTTCGTTTGATCTGATTCAATGGCATAATTAAGATATTAAAGAAAAAATGAATATTCCAGATACCAACTATTGATCCATATTCAAATGAGGGTATTTTTCCGGACAAATTTAAAGGGAATATTTCTTTCGAAAATGTCTCATTTTCTTATCCAACAAGAAAAAATATAAAGGTTTTTTATTTTTTGTGCTTGACGACTGGCAAAATTTTTCAGCTTTCCCTTCGTAAATTATTGATTAATTTTTCTATGAAATTAAGGCACTCAACAATGTATCCTTCAAACTGGCGCGTGGAAACAAAATTGCTTTGGTTGGTTGCAGTGGCTGCGGGAAATCCACAATTGTCAATCTGCTACTGCGATATTACGATCCGACCGGTGGAAATGTATTTTTTTTGATTAAATGCATGCAGACATTATTTATCATTTGAATGGATCAAAGGAAATATTCAGAATAATTCAAATTTTCCAAAGCTTTAATTTCTCTGAATATGGATGATCTTTTTCATTATAATAAATTTATGAAAAAGTTTCCAGATCAAGATTAAAATACGGGAAGTTATGCTGCTTAATTAACATTTTGCATTTTGCATCTTTTGAGGGTTCCAGATTATGCCTACTTTCAGATTTATTTGGATGGTATTGACCTGGAATCCTTGAACCTTAAAAAATTGCGTAATATTATTGGAGTCGTTTCTCAAGAACCTGTTTTATTTGATGGGACAATCGAAAGCAATGTACGCCTTGGCAGTTACGAAGTTACTAATGAAGATATCGTGAAAGTTTGCAAAAAGGTTAATTATCTCAATTCTGCAAAATTTTCCACGATCATTCACATGAAAATTTGCAGGCAAATGTCTGGCATTTTATACAGACGCTTCCGGATGGTTTGAAAACAAGAATTGGTGAAGGAGGTGTACAATTGTCCGGCGGTCAGAAACAAAGAATTGCAATCGCAAGAGCTCTAATCAAAAATCCATCAATCCTGTTACTTGATGAAGCAACATCAGCACTTGATACCGAATCAGAAGGTGTGGTGCAAAAGGCGTTAGAAGAAGTTAATTTTCTTTTTTTTCTTTGGCTGAAATTTGGGATGTTTTTTTCTTTTAACAGCAGTGGTTTAACTGATTACCAGTATGCAACCTATATATATATATATAGATAAAAATGGTATTGTCCCACTTGAACTTCTTACTGAAAATTACGCAAATTCTTCATTCTTATGTTTTTTGTGAAATAATAGAAATAAACAGATGCTGATTACTTCTTTTCGTAAATTGGAGAAATTGAACACCAGTAACAGATTTTTCTGTACTTTATTATTAAATCTGATTTTCTAAATTAGACGAATTAATTTTTTTTATCGAAGATTCGTTGTAAGCTACTGGATAAAAAATTTTTGAAGAAATTAATATTCTTTTAGATGCAAAAAGATCGAACAACGATAATTATTGCGCACCGTCTTTCAACTATTCAGGATGTTAATGAAATACTTGTATTCAAGGATGGCTCAATCGTTGAACGTGGCACTCATACTGAACTCTTCTCAAAAAAGTCTTATTATTATGAAATGGTTATCGCACAAAATATCAATTCCTTAGGTATATTTGGATTTGCATTATTGCCATTTAGCTCAGATGATTCGAAAATTCGTTTTATATTTATTTATATCAAAATTTTTTATATTTTAGATCTACATGGAACCGAAATCGCTAAAATGTCGGAAAAAGACGGTGATTCTGATATACCGTCCAGTGAAATTGTAGAAACACGAAAGCTAACATCCTCAAGCTCTAAGTCTTTGCCATATTCCCCTTTTTCACTTCAGTCCAGTTCTATGCAGATGAAACGACTTCAAAAGGCAGTTAATGTAACGCTTTCTTTAGAATTATTTTGAAAAAATTAAATTATAAGTTATCGGTTATTTTTTAAAATCTAATGGTGAAACTAATGTTTGCATGCACTTTGGAAGAGAATTATGTGAGTATTAATTGAACTGACAATCCACTTCCTTTTCTAAATTTACAGGAAATTTCTGTTGTGCCAGCTTCTTTGTCGAAAATATTTTTTATGAATAGGGAATCATGGATATATTTCTTTTTTGGCATTATTGGATGTTGTATTAGCGGGATCATAATGCCACTTTTTACTCTCGTATATGCTCAAATTTTTAATGTTAGTAAATATTTTTCCAAAGCTTTTATTTTCAATTTTGAAAATTCAGAAGCTTTTTGCTTCTTTTATCAAAAATAATGATCAAGTTATGATAAAGTTGTACAAGTATCTACAAACTTTGGGATTTTCGATTTCAATTTTGAAAACCAAACCAAAAATTATTAAAAACTGCTTGAGTTACATATTTATTATATGGACCAGTTCTAAATAATTCGTAATTTAACGATCTTTAATGTACATAATTTAACGATCTTTAAAAGATTTTTTCAAAAATTTTAGGTATTAAGTGAACCTGTCGATAAAATCGTTTCTGATGCTGTATTCTGGTCTATTATGTTTCTTATGTGTGGTTTCGCCAGTGCTCTTGGGTTTTTTATTTCAGTAAGTTATTCTTTGGAAATAACAGCTATAGCTTCTTTGAAATTGAATTCCATTTTATATTGAATTTTGGTGACAAATTTAGTGGTGAAATTCGTTTTCTCTTAATAATATTTTTATGCTATATTTTATTGTTTTATGATTTTCTTAGTATTTTATTTCTTAGTATTTTATTATTCATTCTTTATTTCGTTAATTTTCTTTTTTGTCAAGGCGAATATGCTTGGTTTATGTGGTGAAGCATTAACTAAAAAATTGCGATTATTGGCATTTACCAATCTCTTAAGACAAGACATAGCCTTTTACGATGATCCAAAGCATGGCACAGGGCAACTTTGTACGAGATTGGCCACAGATGTTCCAAATGTTCGATATGTAAGCATATTATTTCTCCAAAAACAAATGACGTTTTTGAAAAAGTTATGGCTGTATGGAATGTAAATTTGTTTTTCGAACTGATATTTGATAAAGTTGAATTTCATACTGGAATATGAAAATCTTCCCTTAAGTTTCGGATAGAATTAATAGATTTAGACTTAGTAGATTTAATTCGATTTTTTATGCCAGTCGAATCCTTTTTTTCCTATTTTCCATTAATTATTTCCAGGTCTTCACTCGATTACCTTTATTTTTCACTGCAGCAATTTCTTTTGCTGGAACATTTTTGATTGGCTTTATTTTTGGCTGGCAATTAACTTTAATACTTCTTGCTCTTATACCATTTGTCATCGGAAGTGGATATTTTGAAATGATGATGATGGTCAGTTTTTCCAATTATATTAAAAATTTTTTAAGTAATTGCCGTCAAAAATTTTGTGAATTTTGTATAAAATTTTGAATTATTAGGTTCATTAGTATTCTGGAAGCCGAAGACCTCGCCAAAAACAAATTTTTTAGAAAAATCATAGATTTTCTCTAAAATTATTTTAATGTATCCGTTTGTTCAGTCATTTTTTTCCTCACACTATGGTGTTTTATCAAATTTCAACGAAATTCTAGTCGTATTATCATATTTCTATTTCTATTTAAAAGCTTTCCATACATATTTCTATTAAAATTTATAATTCAGATCAAGAATATTTTAAATACTTTTTTTTTATCAGCATTTAGCTCTCTCTTTAAACATCACTTATTGAGAACTTTTTTAAAGTATGGAAAGCTTTTGCGAAACACGGAACTTCTTGAAGAAGCCGGAAAAATAGCAAATGAAGCAATTGAAAACATACGAACTGTACATGCACTCAATAAACATCATTTTTTTATCAATGAATACTGTCAACGCTTGAAATTGCCTTTTAGGTTTGAACTTTAAAATTTTTATCTAATTATTCATTCAGATAAATAGTGTAAAAAATAGAATAATGATAAAATAGAAGAATGATTGCAATGAAATGATATTCGCCTGCCACAAGTTAATATTTTAGAAAAAATGCCTACTTTATCGGTAGTAGAAATATTAACCACAGCACATGTCAACAAAAATTGTTTTTTTGCCTCAAACCTGGTAATTGAACCTCAATTATATACTGATAAGAAAAAAAAATTCGACAAAATGAAACCATTGATTAAAAATATAAGATATTTTAAAAACAAATAAGAAAGGAATAAATAAAATAAAAGACCGTAAACAACAAAAAATGTCAAATATTTAAATATTGACCAACCGCTTGCATTCTTTAATTGCTAAGAATAATTTTCGTAAATAACTTGTGCAAATTAACCTTAGTGGTTTATATATAAATGGAATTATATGTAAATGGAATGAAATCAATTGATTAAGTTAATGGAAGATTCCTTTTGGCGGTTGGGATCACTAGTTTGAAACAATAAATTTAGAAAAAACATCGCATTTCACGACAAATAGCTGTTATTATTTAATAATGAAAGTCATTTACATAAGAAAAATATTATTTGACACAACAGGACAATTATTTAAGCTAACAGAAGAAATTATTTCGAATAATTCTGCAGTAACTAATTAACCTTTTAATATGCCATGGTGAGAAATTTGGATAATGAAAATTTTACTTTAACTAAAACTTCATCCAGGATTTGAAATATTTCTATTTCTATTTTACTCTAACTTTTTTTGCTAATCGGCAAACAGTAGATAGAAATATTTATTTATTTAGAATGAACTTAAGACAGGCTCATATTTATGGTGGTGTATTCGCGTTCTCGCACTCAGTTGTTTTTTTCATGTATGCTCTAGCATTCTGGGCTGGTTCGCTCTTTGTTAATTCCGGAATAATGCTTCCAATAAATGTATACAGGTAAGGAAAAGTATTTTTTTTAGTTAAGATCGGTACAATAATTATTGCTTTAGTTAAAAGTGCTGGAATAACAGTATAGTTTAGTTTCTACTTAATATGCATCTTTAATAGATCTTAGTTTTTTCAAAAACTTATAAATTTTTAATTGCAGAGTGTTTTTTGCATTTGTTTTTTGTGGGCAATCAATTGGTCAAATAAGTTCTTTTATTCCTGATATTATTAAAGCACGACTTGCTGCCTCCTTAATTTTTTCCATTTGTGAATATTCTACAGCCATTGATTCATTATCTACTAATGGCTTGCAGCTGGTAATTTTTTTATTATTTCGAAGCCAAAAAGATTTTCGTATTGAAAAAATCTAAAAATCTAAAAATATAAGAAAGACGAGGAGCTGCATAATATAACAAAGACCTCATTAGTACCTTTTCATCACTTTGCTAAACGATTTTAATTTAGCCAATAAGAGGTGACATTCAACTAAAGAGTCTTCACTTTTCTTATCCAGCACGTCCACGAAACCGTGTTTTGCATGGAGTTGCGCTCAATGTGAAAAAAGGAAATACTTTAGCCATTGTAGGATATTCAGGATGTGGAAAAAGTACTATAATGGGGCTTTTGGAGCGCTTTTATAAGCCAAATAAAGGAACAATCGTAGGTTTCAAATTGTTTATTTCACATTGTAATCTTTGATTTCTTTCTTTGAATAAAATTGTTTACACATGGGTCTGTTTTTTTGAATTTCGTTTGCTACCACAATCTATATCAAATTATTTTAGTTGGTTGATGGACGAAATATTGAGGAATACAATATCAAATCATTACGGCAACAAATTTGTATCGTCGGTCAAGAACCTAAATTATTCAATTGTTCCATCGAGGAAAATATATTGTTCGGCATTGAGCATTTCATTACTCACCATGAAGTTGTTAAAGCTACTAAATTAGCTAATATTCATGACTTTATTATCTCTTTACCAATGGTATCTCTTTACCAATATTTCTTTTTTTTGATGATCTCTAACTACACTGGGTCGTAGTTTACAGAATTCTTTAAATTATAAGGGCTATCAAACTCATGTTGGTGAAAAAGGAATGAAATTGTCTGGAGGACAAAAGCAACGAATTGCTATAGCTCGAGCTCTTGTTCGAAACCCTTCGATTCTTTTACTTGATGAAGCAACTTCTGCACTCGATACGCAAAGTGAAAAGGTAATTATTAAAAGATTGGTTATCTATTATTAATTTGCTATTATTAATTTTAATTTGCTATTATTAACGGTTAAGGCTGTGCAAAAAGCCATTGATAACGCTCGAAAAGGTCGTACTTGTCTGATTATTTCCCATCGCTTATCAACCATACAAAATTCAGATCTCATTGTCGTTCTTAATGAGGGAAAAATCGTAGAGAAAGGTTGATTTATTTTTTTTCTTGCAGTCTTACAAACAAAAAATAGAAACATAAAACAATGATATGGAAGAATAGAATCATTAACATCAACATCTAAAGCGATATGCTCTTCTCTTTTGGTGACAGAAATATAGGTGAGTTTGCAGTATTGCACACTGATTTCTTCATGATAGATTTAGTTTTGTCGAAAATATTCTTTGAACTTCGACACTTTGAGACTATGATTTGAGTAACAGCCACCATTCTGATACCCAACTATTAAATCAACATCAAATGTCTTATTAATATCGGACATATTAAAGAAATTAACTCATTATAATTAAAATTTTCGTCACTTTCTATAGTTTTTCATAATTTCGCCAATTTGGATCATTTTTATTTTATTGAATGTTGCAGGAAATCATTATCAACTGATGGAGAATAATAATATTTATAGGAAATTGTGTGATTCTCAAATAATTGTTCAAAATAGATAAATCACATTCATTATTCTTTTATTTACTATATTTTTAAGGTTGTCAATACCATTTTATTTCAGTCCTCAAAGCCAGAGTTCCCCAAACTTTATCCCACCGAATCTGGGTAATTGTTCTTTTTTCCTTTTTTCTTTATTTTTTCATTTATTCAAATCGAATAATTAATTTTTAATTTCATCGAAACTTTTACATTAATATTGATTTTGCACTAATAAACACTTGGGGGAAAATGTTTGCTTATTTTTAAAATTAAATGGTCACAAATTCAATTTAAATGTTTAATCATATTAAAGCGAAGAAAGTTTTGGAAACGCTGCGCTAGGCTTTTTTTAAAAGAGTCCTCACCATTACTCGTTAAACTATCTCCACTGGCTTGTCGCATTGGGCAATATGCCATGGAGTCCCTTGGCGATACAGATAAATCGCCAGAATCATCCGGAATTCGGAATTTTGAGGTTTAATTTTTCGAACCTCAGCATCGGCGCTCCCAGTCGAGCAACAACCCAATGAGCCATTCTATGCTGTTAGAAGGAATAGATTGTAATTTAGGTATTTTTTAGATAAGCAAATCCTTAAAAAACTCATCTTTTTCTAATAGCCCCCACCATTAGTGCTGCACTGGCTGCAAGGGAAAGGGTTTTCAATCTTCGCGATCTGATACCATTGTCGGCAGTAAAAGAAGCCATTCCTTTTCCCATCGTCTAAATCCATATATTGCTGGTCTATTCATAGTTTCGAAATCTTTCCCGATCATATCCAGGTTTTGATTGGCCCACCACTCTTTTAACGCCACCCATCATAGAATTTAGCAAGTAACGAAATATCTTCTCTATTTGTGTTTATTGCGTAGCCATTCGATATGAGAGTGGATTCAAGGTATTTAAAATCGGGCAACCAGTAATGAATTTATGGCATTTTATCAGCTTCTTATATATAAGACGAAAAGGTTTTCGTTTTATTTTCATTGACCCTGAGTTCTCGCTTCAGTTGTTGACACGTTAGCATTGTTTATATTTCATCATATTTCATCAGCAAAAAGAACATCATCGTCCACATGATGACCACATCATCAGCGTATTCAAGATCTGCGATACGATGCTCTGAACTGATTTGGACACCTCTTGAGTACCGACAAGCGGTGTCCATTAGAAATCATATTAAAACCAGACGGTGTTAAATAAAGCGATTTATTCAACCAGAAGCGCTCAATAAAAAGATACGCTCAAAAACAATAGCGAAAAATAGTTTAAAAAAATCTAAAAGCACCATTAAAAAATGTATATCTAATTTTTTTCTCGAAATTTCTTCTACTATTTGACTCTAAGTCTATGGCCTGACTGACCAATTAATTGCAAAAGCTGTTTAACGGATAAAGTTGAAAGAATTTAAAAAACTTAAGTGCACAAAAGCACAGGTGTAGAATCTCTGGCATATACTTCATGGTTAATGAAAAATTTATTTCCATTTATTAAAAAACGGTACCTAAGATCGTTCTTTAGTTCAATGACTTGAAAAATGAATAAAATAACTGAAAAACTGGATTTATAATAAAATAAATAAAAAATCGCTCATTAAGCCCTACTGCCACCACGCAACAAGGAAATTTTTTTACAAAAATTAAAAAAGGTACCGAAAAAACAAATCATCAAAAAATCGTTCATTTCTTAACCAATTCTTTGAATCCAAATTGAGCTTGAAGCCACAAGTTGCTTCGAAAGATAAAGCTGGAAAATTAGTTCCAAACCAAGAAGTTTCAGTTCAAAGTATTCAGATCTACTTGCAACAAATCGTCTAATGATTCGAATAAAGTTAAAGGATTGTGAAACATTCAAAAAATATAAAATAAATTCAGATAATATTTATTTGATTAGCAATATTTATTATATATGGAGTAATAAAATAAAAAAAACAAAAGTAGAAAATAATAAAAGGCGAAAACAAAAAAAAAATTCGTATAGCAACAGCAAAATGATGGACCTACAAATTTATCTTCAATTTTTCATGGCTTTTCCACCAACAACACTGCCTATAATATGGTGTAGAATCTGGTGCTAAAACAGATGGCTTCTTGACCTGTTTCTTGACCTGTGTTGCTGTTCTAGAAGCTATCAATGTAAGAGGTTCAATAGTTGACGATGAATCAATACAATGTACAAGCCAATTTGAATGAACCTAAAAAATTGGTGACTTACAAAAATTTTTTATAAATAAACTCAAATCCAAATTTACGATCCCAAAATATAGATTTAACAAAGAAATAAAATTACAAGAGGAAAACCCGATTTTTTCTTAATTTTTTTCCCCACAGCCCGTGAAACAACGATTAGATTTCTAATAATTTGTTACCAATTGCTTCTTATTTCAACAACTTATTTCAAAAAATAATAGATTAATTTACTCGAGAAAAAAATTTTCAATCTTTACAAACACTTTTTCAGGCTTATTAACGTACAATATATAATCACATCCAAATTTTAATCCATTAGTTAATATCCTTGCCTCTAAAGATCTCGAAAAGTAGTTAAGCGAAGTCGAAATGCAGTATCAGTTGGAAAATTAGGAAATTCCATTGTATCATAAGCACTTTCATCTTTAATGACTAAAATTTTTTAAAAAATAAGTGGGCAAAACATATCTTTCTAACTTACTGAAAATTAAAATTTACTGAATCGTTTTGATTGCAGTTATCCGAAAAAAATTTTCTACAACGTTTTTTAATCAAAAATACGTTCCTTCAGAATAAACACATTTTTGAAATCTCTTATCTCCTACGAGGATCCATCAACACATTGCAATGAACCTTGACATTGCTCTCCAGGAAATCGTACATCCAAACAAAGTCCATGAACAATGATTTGACTCAATTGGCATATGGCGGAAGGCTGCGATTTAATATAAACTCCGTTGTTATTCTGATAACCTGTAATAATAATGAAATTTTTAAAAATAAATAATTTTTAAAAGTGGAATAATATAATTAAAATCATCGAAATTTTCATGATTAACATTACTTAAGGCAAAAATTAGTTTGTTAAAAATTCTTCTAGATTTTTTAAATTAGGGAAAAATTATTAGGGCATTGAAAAAATCACTAATGAAAAGAAAAAAAATTTAATAAAGAGTGCCTTGTCGAATAACTACATGATGAGCCAAAACATTCCGAATCTCCTATGCACTGATCGCTTATGTAACATTGCCCACCAATTCATTATTTATTTATATTGCATAGTTGAATATTGTAGGGAAAATGACACAGCCTTGACGAACATCAGTTCTTAATTCAAAGGATTCCCCTTATACACAGACGTGTGCCGACATACGCTCATAAAATACCTTTATGGGCCGAATGATCTCTGGAAGACCGTCGTGTTCCATCATCCTCCAAAGCACCGCTTTATCAATTAAATCGAAAGTAGCCGCATAGTCGATAAAACACGTAATGGTGGGTTGCAGATATTTGAAGCGATGTTCCAACATCCTTTTAAATATGAATATCTGACCATCGCAACCGCTCCAGGCCTGAATTCAGCTTGATTATGGTGCATTATGCTATCTTATCATTTGTGTCTATTTAACAGAAGAAAATTTTTTTCATTGAGACGTCTAGTAGGCTGATTCCTCGATAATTGTCGCAGTAGGTCCCGTCATTTTTCCTGAGATTTGCAAGCAAAATCGTTGTGTTCCAGTCATCTGATAACAACATTTCTTTCTTTCCATACCAGAGAGTATTTGCTGAAGGTGCGTTATGAAGGACAATGGACAAAATTTGAAGAGTTCAGCTCAAAGACCATCTCCCGAAGTCTTATTGGCCTTAAGCGCGATTATTTCCTCTTCTGTTGGCGGCTCACAATTGCAAACGTATGGTTGACGAACGTATCAGCTATGTCTTGGGCAATAGATGGTGCTTCATGGTTAAGTTTGGCCTGAAAGAATTCGTTCCATCTTATGAGGCGATCCTTAATACTTTTAATTAGTACGCCATTGCTGTCTTTTACCATTTCACTGATCGAGTTATAGTCGCTTTATGAAGAAGGCGGAATAGTTTCCTATTATCGCCTAATCGAGCCATCGTTTTCTCAAGACCAAACCCGCTCCAGTAGCAGTTTCTACCACGCCTTCCTGTCGTTGTAATTCTTGACATTCATGCCTTGGCAGCTTTTTTAGACAGTTAAATAGTTGCTTCCGATATTCAACTAGGGCATTAGTGTACTTTGGCGTGAAAATGGTTGATTTCCGGAGAATTCCTTTTGTTGGGACCAGTATTTATTTGCCCTTACAGAAAAATCATAGATATTTATACCACTGAGATACTTCAATAATTCGGTTTGAAATGCTCTCATTATCCCTGAATTTTTTAGTTTGAAATAGTTGAAAGATCTTGGGGGATGCATTATAATTTATTTAGGTCAATTATTTGTGGTCTATTTGTAGCTTTCATTTTAGAAGCCAATTTTATTTCTTAATTTGGCGAATTTTTTTCTAAAAACCTTGCCTCTAATTTAATGCTGTTTTCTGTGAGTTATCAATTTTATGCGAATCTTGCCTCGAACCATAACATGGTCAGATATCAGATCCATGAAGATGCCTGTTTCAGCGCCGCGACAGGAACGGCCATCAAATACGGAACTCTTCCAACTGACTAAGATATAATCAATCTGGTTGGGAGCTGGTCATCTGGGGAAATTCCACGTGACTAGAGGCCGGAAGCAAGTATTAGCAACAAAAACTTCATGCTTTTCGGCATAACGAAGAAGGCGAATGCGTTCTCCATTGGCGCACCGATCTCCGATGCCATATTTGCCAATTGTCTAGGTCATCGCAGCATTATGACCTATGTCCCTCGATTATGAGCATGTCATGTTTTGGTAAAGACTTTGTTAGCAGTTGAAGTTACGCTTAGAAATTATCTTTTTCATTTGCCGACAAAGTTGGAGTATAGATACTGATGATCGACTATCGAGGCAGAACTTACAATTTAAAGCGGGCATGGGTCATACGGTCGTTTACCTTTCCTTTTCAGACATTCGCTATGCCATTTTATCTCGAGTTATCCGATAACATTGATTAGATGGTACTTATGCTGGGAGCCAGGAGTAGAAATTATTCGAGAAAGATGTACTATAGACAAACAGGCGATAACCATATGATATTAAGAAAGAGCGTGGATCGTTTGGCTTGCAATGTTCATAAGCGTTCTGACTTTTAACACTGATACGACTAGCACCCCTCGCTGAGAGTTATATGTTGTACAATGAGTGACGATTGAATTTTTTTAATTCCGATTTTCTCTTTAAAAATAACAGGAATATGAAAAAAAGTGGAATAATCAAAAAAATAATATATAAATAAAATAACATAAAATAAAAAATAAAATTTAATTCATTTATAGAAATTTTAATTTGTCTAAAATTGTTGCTACCTCCTAAAAATGAAAAACGCGTACTATTTCTGGTTTGATTAGCTTTTATTTATCACTATTGAGACTCTTTAGGTAGGCCCAAAATTACTATCTATTAATTTTGAATAACTATTCTTTGATGGAATTGTAGCTTTACTACAGATTCTCACTGTTTTTATGTTTCTTGGAAACGGCCAAATGAGCTTCGACCAAATGATGAAGAATCTTAGAAGGAATCAAAAGCATCATTTGATGAAGAATTTTTTTGTTTCGTGTAAGATTTAGAGTCATTTTATTCTTCCGTACAGCATTATAGGATCGGGAATTTGTTCGCAGTTACCAAATGCAATTCACGTTTTTAGCAATGAACTGGAGCCGTCTTTGAATACGAAAAAAATTGTGCGAAAAATGTTAAGGAAACGGAATTTGATTGGTAAGATGAACGAAAATGTCATTCAAATAGAAATCGCTGTAAACTTGCTTAACATTTTTTTCAAGAATTTCTGCATTTTCTTGTTTTGCGGAAAATGTTTAGGATCGAATGAATTTATTTGATGAATTACCGTATTTTATGGGAAGTTTATAGCATAACTTTACATAGAAACGGAGAAATGTATTTTCATCGGAAGCCATAACAAAATTTTTCGCGTTTAAAAATCGTATTTATTTATTCGTAATTAATTTTCAGAGTAATTAATAATAAACTGACGTAGGGTACTGCAATGTTTAAAAAATATAGCGGTTAAAATACAAAAGCATGCAGTAGAGAGGTTTAACCGATGGCCATCACAATCACCATGAAAATATAAAATTATAAATTATATCAATTATAAATTTGAAATATAAAACGATGCGAACGTTGCGCTTGGATATTTGGAACCGAACTGGCTTTATGTTGTTGTTTTCAATCGTAAAATTGCTCCGCCAGGTTCTCATCTGAAAGACAGCTTCTGAACACTCAGCTAGAGATCGATTAAAAAAAAAAATTGAATCTGAAACAGAGTATCGATGGAAAATAAAAGTATGCCGAATGTAAAATATAAAAATATATAAAATATAAAATATTTAAAAAAATTTTTCTTTTCCCCGAATACTCTTACAAAATGTTTTGAAAGAAAATTTAAAACTGATCTCAATTTTAAAAAATTTTAAAATGAGTCGCGAATTGTGCATCATTTGTTCATAGGACCATGCGACGGAGAGTTTCCTAGGCTTGCTCCACGGGCCAGAAGAATTTTGCCTCGGCTGAAATGCAGGTATGTCGCTTACACCATCTGAATGAGGCTACATCTTAAAGCGTTAAGGATGAAGGTATAATTCCGAAACATTCGAAAATAGGAAATTTCCCGTTTATAGTTTAGTTTATATTTCTGACAAGGAACAAATGCTTTTTAAATAAGAAAAAAAACGTGGAAAATGTCAAAGAAGTAGAAAACTTTTTTCATTTGTATTCGTTAAATTTAAAAATAAGCATATAAAGTGAATAAAATCTTAAAATTAAGAAATTATTTAATAAATTTTTGCACTTTATACTTTGTAGAATCAAAAGAATTCATGTGACGAAATACTTTAAAAAATATATAAATATTCCATCTTCAGCGTCTTGAAGAACCTCCCCATATTGCTAGAATGAGCCAAACGTTGGCTGTGTTCGCCGCAAATTCTCTCTCATGAATCGTCTCTTGATTAGAATTACGAATCAGAATAGACGAATAGGTGATGGAAGTAAATGTTCCATTAAAAAATCTGCCTGGTGCTGGCAGCCACTTTTATTTCTGTTACCAAGTGACTTTCTGCCAAAAATTTCAAATCTCAGAATTAAGATTTTATTCTCTGCAAAAATTCTAAATTTCGTGAAATATTTTGGAAAAAATATTTTTATATCTTTCAATTTTCTTGCCTATAACGTTTGAATGAGTGGAAAATGGCAACGTACTATTTAATATTCCTATAATTAATAAAATTTGCAGTATGAGTCTTTTACCTGGGTTATTGTTATTTTCTGTTGCTATTGCAGGAACAACTGCTGCGCCGAGCAGAGGTATCTTTCACTGTTTCAAATTTTCCCTCCGTGAAATTTGTTCCAATCGCAAAATCTAAGTAATTCTTGTTAATTAAATTTTTTTCTTTCAAAGCATTGTTGGTCAAGCTCGTTGTGCTGACTATTTGGACCTGATAAATTTTTCCAGAGTTTGCTTTGCGATAGAAGTACAAGTGAGTCGCTAGCATCACTCGGGTTTTTGAACGATAGGTTTACTTATGCCGATCAGAGAATTTCAGCACTGTGGCGCTCCAAACTAAACAACAACACTAAATCATTCCATTTTTTTTTACTTTTAACCTTCGGCGCCACTGACGAATCGGCCGGATTCTCGTGATAATTATCTTGCCACTAAGCCATCGAAGTAAATTTGCTAAATTTACTTTCATTGAAAAATCTTAGGTTATGGCGATGATATTAAATGGGTTACCCTCGACGAAGCATTCAGGCAAGCCATAGACGAGCAAAAACCAATTTTCTATCTTATCCATGACAGCAGCTGTAGCGCATGCATAAGTTATCATTTATAAATTTATTGTATTTACTTGGTTTTAAAAAAAGTCATATTATTTTATAGTTATCTTAGAAAAAAAAATTTATATTCTTGAAAAGATGAATTAAAGGATTTCTAATTCGCTTGAGGTTGAATTCAGTGAGATTTTTAAAATGAGTAGTCTTGAAATAGGTTTTTAATAAATAGCATTCAGAGTTGAAGCAAAAACTCAGTGAAGCACCTGAACGAGAAGATATTGTTAATTTGTCGCGAGAATTCGTAATGGTCAACATGGAAAACAGCGAAGTATTAAAAGATGATTTACCAGAGTATAGGCCAGACGGACGATACACTCCTCGAATTCTCTTTTTATGTAGGCATAAATAAAAAATATTCGAAAATAGTATATTATGCAAGAGACGATTGGGATTATAACAGATGGAAGCAGAAGGAGAAAACCCACTTTTCATTATTGTGATGAAGTTTACCTATATTTTAAAATTAACATTAAGCGACCATTATTATCAAAACGTTTAAATATTCTGCAGATGAAAGGACTGGCAAATTGATAAATTAGATTGCAAATCTGCGGATCAATTAGTTGATTTCTTTTTTCTTTAATTTTAATATTTTTAAATCTTAAATTAAATTTGAAAATGTATCAATATTAAAATTTGGAATAAAACCTTTCAACTTCAGGCAAAACAAGGCTTTCTTTCAGATCCTGATGGCACATTAATGACGGACGTGACAAATAGGAAGCGTTCTAAGTATTATTCGTATTATTACGACTACCCCGAAGATATATTGGAAGGAATGCAGAAGGCACTATCGATGATGGGATGACATTTTTTCCAGAATGCTTAAATTCCGGTATACTTTGAAAAGAATTCAAAAATTCTGGGCAAGTATCTTTCGGAAAGATCCTTGATTTACTCAATACTTCTGAATTATTGACTTGTTTAATAAAATTTTGATTGAAATTGATTTGTTTAATAAAATTTTTCGAAGTAAAAATTATTTCACAATAAAAATAAATTTTCGTGAATTCCAGTGAATTAGAACAACGTAACGATATTTATTTGTTATTTATGTAATAAGTTTATAAATTACACGTTATAAAAATTTAGATTTATTTGGTCAGTTAGTTGTACTGTTGGCAGAGATCACCGGAAATTGATCTGTACAAATGAAACGCACCCATTGATTCCGAACAGGAATCGAATCAATGAATTTGGCTTCTTCTATAATCGGCTGATTTTTATAGTTTACATTGCATTTAAAGCGACTCATCGGTGGTGGTGTGCTAGCGTTGATTCGCGTCGAACATCATAAGTTCGGCTCTTTCCTCTGACAGCAGCAAATCTGCTCTTAAAAAATCCTGATAGTGTTAACAACCCATCTGTATTCTTTCGTCAATATCTCTACAGTTGTTTCTAATTATACTAACAAATACAGAGCTAGCATAGCCGAAAGCAATTATCACTAATCTTTTATTTTTAACAAGGTTAATGGCAATGCGGTTTGATTGCCGAGATCGATGGGGAGAAGCTAATTTGATTCATAAACTGCAAATTTCATTGAATATTATACACAGTATGAAAACTTTCTTTTCCATGAAATTAAGAAAATACGAAAGTAACAGAGAGTTTACTTTTAAGAAAACTGCATGAACAGGAAATATTTTTTTTGCGAATAAATGATTCTCTTTCCCTTTTTTTCGGTGAACTTTACGCGAATATTTAGTTTAAAATGAAAAGATTGATGCTGACTGTAGGAAAATTAAAGTTTATTGCAAAGATATTCCCTATGCTGTTGAAAAAAATTTTGCCTTTTGTACGAATAAAAATAATCGGAAAGAACTGGAAAAATTCATAGAAAAAATTTGTTTTTGAATGAAGAAAAAGGAATCCTTAGGATGAATTTTGCAAAAAATGATTCAACAAATTTTCACCAGTTTATGCAAAGCAGTTTTCATGTGAAAACTTTGCATCTTAAATGCGACCAAACCTGTTATGTGCTTCCATTAATAACGTATACAAATTTTAAAAAATTAATAAAAAATTAGTGTTGAAATAAAATTTAAAAAAAATATGATTAGATCCTACCGACTTAAAGAGAATAAATATCTTAGAATTGTTTGCTTATAACCGTTATGGACGATTCTATGGCAATATTGAAAGGTCGCAAATACAAACTAATAATCTCAAAAAAAAATTGGAAACACCACTGAGGCAACAAGCACCACTCAAATTTTATTTTTAATGAATACAAAGTACAGGGAACCCCTATAATTTTGCTCAGTTTCATATCCATGATTCGGTAAAATTTGGTCCTCATTCGGAGAAGGCTGAATGAATGATTACTTGCTTATCATTTTTATATTTTTTAGAGCAACCATTAAATATTTTCTTTGCCATTTTTTTCATGGTTAGTTTTTAAGCCAAATTCTTCTTAAAGAGATTTATTTTATATAAGAGATTTATATAAATGAAATTAAAGAACTGGAATGAAGTGAACTGCAAAAGTTGAAATATGCTAATGATATTTTGGAACCAGAATTTCTTTATATAACGATGTCTTAGAGATATATCGCTGCTCAAATTCTTCACATACTGAAGAAATATTTTTATTTTTTAGACTTGCATATCAAAGTTAGCAAAAGAGCAAATGATATTGTCATCAACAACTGGTTTCATGCAAAAATTGATAAAGGAAAAAAAATTGAACCTGATTGTGAGAAATTCCATTCTATTTTATTCTACTTACAAGCTTCACTCTTGAAACAATGAAAAAGAAAAAGCGTCATAAAATTTGATGGAAGAAGAGTTAATCTTGGTGAGTTTTCAAAAGCACTTAACCAGAATTCTCGAATTTTCGACCATTCACCCACAGTTTATAAAGTCTTAATTTGACCTTAGTGGGGAAATGATTATCATCACTTTTATTCCTTTCCATTCGCAAATCACAGCTGCAAATGCGAAAACCATCAAATGCGAAGAAAAAAATTGTTCTATAGTTTTAGAGGGACATCATCCCTTAGCAACTCGAACTTATGAAACGGATTATCCTTTATAAATATGCAATCTTTTCTTGCCACCGAAAATGGATCACATGGAAAATTTTTACCTCATACAAAATTCAAATTGCCCAAAAATTTTCTTTGTTAAATTCTTTATCCCTTTCTTCTTTTTCTCTTTTCGCATTTCTTTTCTCTGCCTTATACCATTATTTATGGAACAATGACTACAATGATGTAGTTTTTATTCTTACAATTTATAAATTGTTGGCATAAAATATGGTTGCTTCCAATGTTCCCAAATATTTACCTCAATCTAAGTTTGAACCATTAAAATCAATTTATAAAAATTAAATATTGTTCATTAGTTGAGCAATTATTTGTATTACTGCATCCTGTATTTTGAATCCGGCTGACACCACGTCTCGTCGGGCTGCTAACGAAGAAAGAAAAGGAGAGTAGAATGGCTCAATGGGTTGCTGCTCAATTTCGATCGTCCACTTTATCCAAATATAGTGTGGATATTGCCTGTGATAAGTCCTTTCGAAATCTGGATCCAAAGCATCGATTAACTCAGATAAAACCTATTCTTCTTCTTCTTTTTCTAACAGCTTTCAACATTATTGGTTAGGCTGGCTCCAGCGGTACCTATGCTACTTGTTACCTAAGCTTGATTTAAAGGCAATTTTTGCATTATTTCAGTCATCAGTATATGCTAATACGAACGGGTCATCCGAATAGCTTTTACACCGAACTCAACTTGCTATTAGTATCTTTTCCAAAAAGCGACGTTATTATGATTTTTCTCACTATCTTCCGTAGTGAGCGGTGGAACCAGAGTTGCCAATGGAAAACTTTCACATTCTTGGACTTTTGTTGGCAATAAATTGTTTTTAGCATTTGTCATAAGCTGCGCCTATCGCGGGTCGAATACGTCATGTTTATCAGAGCCAAAATCCGAATGAAGCTAACAATGTGTAAAAAAAATCTTTTCCCCAAAATTTTTAAAATATCTCAAGTTAAAAGATTCAAGAATATCTATCATATTTCCCTGAGGTTTTGACATACCTAATGGATTTAAACAGTTGCAGCAACTCTTGAATCCCCGATTGGCATTGGTTTTAGCCAGTTTTGCTTCAAGAAGTCGACTGAATCGTCTTAGGATACACGATTCGAAGACAAGACGGATGTCGAATGATACGATCCAGCTGTCATCTTGCACTAGCAGAATGCACGAGTCAGAAAATGACTCGCAATAGTCACGACGACGTGGAGCAAAAACTTAACATAAAAGAAAGGGATATATGAGCCTTAAATAGAAGACAATGAGTGGTTCTGCAATCAAAAATTATGCAGCAAATCAGCCAAGAAATGAAATAAATGAATTATAAACGACTTTTCAATGAAGTAATCATCTCACTCGACGGAACTGTTTGAAATTAAAATTAACAGGATCCAGCATCATCAAGCACTCGAGTACTAGAACGTATTAAATAGATAATGGTAATTGTATTTGCGCATCACTAATCAAGCACGAGATAATCTATGCAATCCACAAGCTTGAGACCAAAGAAACCTCCGGAGAAATTAGGCTACGAGGTTGAAATCTTGAAATATTGTCCAGTGTCACAATGCACCTGCAAAAATATCCACTGCTGTGGGAGAAGGAGCAAGTGCCACATAACTGCAAAGGCAATTCTCCCAATCCTCAAGTATCGTGGAATTAACTTCCTAAATATTTCTGAAATTCTTGCCTCTCTTCTATTAAGAAGAGACATCAATTAAAAAGACGTGTGGTAACAGAATGAGCCATAATTAAACCAGGTTTAGACCAAAGCGTAACTATATTAACCAAATTTTCATGCTGAGAATGATATTAGAACATCATTTAAAGCATTAACCTATTGTTAAGTGCTCCATTGACTTTGTCGCTGCTTTTGATTCGGTCAAGCCATGATATAGTACCAATACGATGTAGTGTCAGAGAAGTCAATCTTATCAAAACATTTCATTGGAATATATCAGAACAGGAGTTGAGAAATATTAATAGTTGAAACAACCTTTTGAACCTTTTGAAATAAATATCACTGTGCATTAAGATCACGTTTTCTCCTCTAAAGTTTTCAGCTATCTAATGGACCGGATTAAGGCATTTACCAGCATTCAAGAAGCAACGTGATCTTAATGCACATTAATACATAGTATCATTTGAATAATTGAACACGCTGATAATGTTGCAGAGACGTTGACAGCAATAGCAAAAAACTGGGCTTTAAAGCAATGTAAATACGACGAAACTCTTTTCGTCTTATATACCAGACACTGGTAGGACCTGCAAAACTCGTCAACGGTCGAAAAAGTGCCAGATTCTAAATATCACGGATCCATCTTCATACCTAATCACCAGGCGGCAACCTTTTTTCGTCCGGCGAAACCATTTTCGATTCATTAAGAAATCGGCCTCAAAATAAAAATTCGCATCTATTTGATAAAAATACGCACAATCTTATTAAAAGGCCAATAAGAGGGGAACGAAATGTCAGAAAGCTATCTGCATTTGACTATTTTTACTTAAAGTATATCCTACGAGCCCTTCAAGTATGTTTATATAGTATATTTATATAGTAATATATAGCCAAAGATATACATATTTTCTCGAATATCAGTTGTGTTATGAATGTCGTCGCAAAGTGTCGCCTGTGCCAATTTGGCAATGTTCTTTCCACTTTTTCACCAAATGATTCGCTCACATTTCGCTACTGGCTAAAGCACATGATAAATGGCTCAGTAGCAGGTACAATCAATCGAGATTTGGACCAATATGGTTGGGAAATTTCGAAGACTAGCTATATTTGAACTTAAACGATGGGAAAAGGAGTGACTTTAGATATTTTCAGGATTGGCATCGAATTTGGAAGCTTCGAAGCGTCCTAACAGCCAGGAAAATAAGCCAAACCAATGGAAATATTGTTCATACATATGAAATTCTTATCGTGATAGATTGTTTTAAAAATGTGGGAATCACATTCGGGAACAATTTTGAACAGGCGATTCATTAATATAAGAGGCTAAAAGGAGTAGCTTCTGGTGTACCATAAAATTGACAAGCGACTCGTTCTTCTAACCAGCAGTAGTCGCTGTAGAAAAAATTTCATCTATTAATTTCGATTTCGATGCATTAAAAATTTCGACAACAAATTTGAATTTGAATTTTTTGATATATTTTATTTTAAAGGTTGAATTTTTAAACCGTCAAACAGTGAAGTTCAGATGTTGGAATCGGTAGATATAGCTTAAAAGAGCCAAAGCAATGGTACTAACCGTCTATTTTCACTAAATTAATGAAAGTTTAACATTGTTATAACGGATGGCCATTTTTTTATGACACAACAATAATTCATTCTTATTTAAAACTCGAGTTTAAATTTAAATTTAAATTATGTTTCCAGCAATCAAATTTCTCGGTCTTTCTGCTCACAATGCTTGTGGCAATAATTTTTCATTTTTTAAGTATAATCAAACAAAAAATTAAAATTCTATAAAAATTAATTAATCATAATGTAATGATAAAAGTACAGTAGACTAATAAGATTGAGTATAAATGGCTTCTTCAAACAATTTTCACAATTTCCGCTTTGGCTTCGTTAATTTTTGGAGAGAAGCGGTTAGACGATTCTTTTAGCTGAGAATCATTTGAGGAGGAAGGTTCAGACGAATTGTCACCATGTACATGGACATTTATCTTATCTTAATGCCGAAAATTCTCGACGCATTTCGTAAAATATTTCGATATTGCCTATACCACCTCCGATGTCGAGGTATTGCGTAAGATATTTCGAAATTCAAATACCCCATGCATAACGAACTCAAAGCTTCTATACTCGTTATATTTGGGGTATGCAATAGATTTCGCAACTTGAAATATAACTATATATTTCATCTAATCTGATCACACCGATGACATTTCGTCGTATTACATCAAAAGAAATAATATAATAGGAATAATTTCCAGTTTTCGAAGGAATATTTGCTTAGATCGGAATGAAAAATAATTTTTATCAGCTCTATTCTTTGGAAAATCATTGACAAAATTAGCGATAAAATAAAGAATGAAATGAATGGGCGTGGTAGAGGAAAATAATATGAAGAAAGATGTAGGTGTATGTATATTCATCGTGGTCATTAATTGAATGCAATCGAAAGGTAGGGTGAAGGGTCCATCTTCGATTTTATTACAAAATTTGGCTATTTTATTGGGATCACATTTTTATATTTGGTTTATTTAGAATAGGACGTACCCACGATTTATTTTTGGCTATTTAAATCATCGTAATCGATCAAGCCATATAGAACCAAAATATGGCCAATCATGGCCCATCGTATGGCCTGAGTAGAGAACTCGAGCGAAAAGTAAGTCGTATTTCATGGATTTTCACAATAAAGTCAAAATCATTTATTAAAGCCTTATGTCGGAAAAAGCGAATTCCTATCTCCATTAAAATCCATATAAAAGATTTATGCTTATATCCTTTATATACCTTTCGAATATTTGAAATTCTTTAGCAATTTGATAATTATCAAGAAGCCAAGGCAAAGCGAGCCAAGAAAAAATTTTAAAATTAAATCTCTTCGTTTTCCCCCTGTCGGTACATTAGATTTGAAATGAACTATGAAGATTTGTAGCATTTACTAAAATGGGGATATGAGCTATGTATACGGCTATCAATCGAAACAATTAGAAATGGAAATTATGGGTGAATGGCCATAGCTTTTGCTCTTCTTATCATTTATAATTGGCAATCAAATATGGAATTTATTTTAAGAGAAACTTGGTCTTATTTTATTCAAGCCTTTGGGTGGTTGACCTTTTATTGCTGCTCGATTCATATTTATGAAGGATTTCACTATCAAATATAAACTATATGTTGCAAAACTGAAGTGAAATTCTGCAATAAATCGCAAAAGAAATAAGTATAATTACTAAATGTATTATATATGAAAAAATTGCCAAAATCTTAGTAATGAGACTTCACATAATATTTCTTAGAATATCATATTGATCGATTATTTTTGTTTTACCAATTAATTTGACCTGAATACGGTGGCCCGCAGGATTACCTCTCAAGGTCAACCACCCATTTTATATAATTGCATTTTGCTGATGTAAATTTTAAGAAAATAAAAATAAGTCGACCTATTCCATTTTTTGAAAATACTGAGGAGAACCAAGTTTTTCGCTACCAAACTTGGGAAAATAGAAAATTTGAGTTGAGCAAATTTCAACAATAATATTAGTATAAATTCGATAAATTTGATTAGTTTTTTTCATTGTGCGAATTTTTTTGATAAAAATAATTTAGAGTTCTAATTCACCAGTTAATCTAAATATCTTCCCCGGTGGCACTATTGGAGTACGCTTCGCTTCAGCTAGTAACGAATAGGATGGGTCCAATCTTGATCGAGTATGTCGTTTGAAAATTAAATCAGGCTGACTGTTTAGGGTACATTTGTATTTATCTCTTTTGGTGAGTCTATGAAAAAAGGTTATTTAAACTTTAAATCGTAGTAGTCAGTGGACAAAATGGTCAAGTGCTAAATTGCTTCAACTAAGATCAAGTGATTATAGGTGCTATTCTTATCCCTATTCGTATCCTTTAAATCTGATTGGTATTAAGAGTAGAAGCCAAACAGTATTGGATATTCATCCACATTCTATCAGATAGTTCTATGGCAAAGGGATTCGCTTTTTCCGACAGCAAATCAAATCAAAAGAGTAAAAATGAGTACTTTAAAAAAGAATTCATCTTCGACTTTGTGCCATATCACCAGTAAAGAATTCTATATTGGATCGAAGTAAAATAATTCAGGTGCCGTGAAAATTGGATTCTATGATTATTAATGTCTAGGGAATTTTTTAAGCTCTCTTTCGCTGAATAAAAATTTTTTGGACTTTTCTCGATTTAACTCAGTTTATCTTTTCTTTATTCGCTTTTAAGCAAATTTAGAGAGATAGACTGTCAGCTTAAAGAATTGCTTTCTTGTGTTTAACATTGTGATTAATTTTGAGTTTTTTCGAAATTTCGAAGAAATAAAATGTTTCTCTTAAGTTGAAGAAATTGCATTTTCTTTAAGTTTTTTTGTCAAAAACATAATATGAAAAATATTTAAAAAAGTGAAAATTTTCAAGAGTGAGAGATGAAGGATATAGCATAACGAGATGTTCAGGCAGGTGTCTTAGCCATGAGCTTCTGAAATATTAGATTTGAAATTCTCGCTTGATATTTTTTCCATCAAAGCAAGAGGACATTGTAAATTTTATAGCCTTATCGGTTTTACAGGTGTTGTTAATCACTAATTTTCTGTGGTACTCTTGGTGAAATAGAACAATTTATTGGTGTGATTTTTTTATTTCGTTTGAAATAGTGTAATTAACAAAAATATTGCTGCAAAAAATCTTTCTGATAATTGAAAAAAATTTTAAGAATCAAGCACGGTTCAATATTGAAGAAGCGCAAGAGGTTCTATTTTGGATTGAACAGGTGACAGAACAGCCATTCGATCGACATCCTGCCACAATGCAAACAGCTCAGGATGTAGCAGATGCATTAAAGGATGGAATACATCTTTGCCGGTTTGTACTCTATTTAATCAGTTCTTTAATCTCTATAAAGCTGAATGAAACGTGAAACAATGATCCGAAGCGATTATTATTAAATAAATCGAATATTATTTGAAACCATAAATTAAGCAAAGGCGGTTATGAGCTTTACAATCCTCTCTGCCGAATTTATTGTTAACAATAATAGTGATATAATCGTTGAGCCACTTTACCTTTCTAAGTTGAAGCCTTCTTTAAGGCTAATCCAGGATTAAGGCTTCAAGCAATAAAATTTGGTCTTAACTCTTTGAAATAAACCTTGCCATTTAAAGTTAAATCAGAGTGGTGCTGAAGAGACTATTTCTATCTAAGCGAATCTTCCGCTAAAAAATTACGCTATTAACAGTCATGGAGCCTATCAGAAAAACGAAGTTTAGATGTCTCCTATTATTAGATTAATGCATAAATTAGTAGAATCTTTATAAGCAGCAGTTTTTCTAGTAACTGTAAGTTATTGGCTAAAATTTGCAGTCTCTTCAATCGCCTTGTCAACAAAGTTGATGCTTTATTTTACAATAAACGACCGAAAATGCCTTTTCAAAAGGTGCAGATGTTTTTTGAACCATGGAAATCATAATACGTTCGATTCTATTCATTCTCTAATTTAAGATCATTTTTCATCTTTAAATTCAAATTCAGGAAGCAGATGATTTATTATTGACAAACTAGACCTCAACATTCAATTAGCGTAAATTGACTGTTATTGCAGATAAATGAAGAAAATCTTAGATTAGCTACAATTCACCGGAAATTAAGAAATCTTTTCGCACTATCAGTTGCAGTAATAAGCTTTGAATTTTATGAGTTTTGAAGAAATCTCCAATTAAATTAAATCAAGTTGTATATTGAATTTTTGACGTTATATGGATGCTAATTTTGATTTCATTTTTTAATAATAATTTCAGATGGAGAATATAAGTAATTTTTTGGATGCGATTAAATCGTATGGTGTGTCGGAAATTTCGTGCTTCCAAACAGTAGATTTATATGAAAATAAGCAGTGCTATAAAGTGATTGAATGTATAAGAGCCTTGGCTGCAGTGGTAAGTTTTCCTTGCCTTTCTTAGTGTGGAAAATTAGAGTAAATCGCTATCGAAAATGAATTAATAAAATACCACTTTTTGATTGGCTGAATTGCTTTCGAAAATGTGATTAATTAATTATTTTTCAAGCAACTATTATTCACTATTATGTGGAATTTGTTCGTACAATTAAGGCACAATCAAAAAAATGTTTGGCACCTTTACCGCCATGGGTTGTACGATTATCACAACAACGGCCTCGCTACTTTTCAAATAGTGTTATAAGGAGTGGCGAAATGGTTATTCCGTTGCAGTACGGCACGAACAAATGTGCTTCTCAGAAAGGAATGACACCTTATGGATTAATGAGACAAATTAAGCCAGATAATCCGTTATAAACTTGGTTGCAATTTTTTATAATTTGTTTTTATATTATTATAACATGGGATCACCACCGTTGTTCGAATGGCTCTTAGTGAATAACACCGATATCTATAATTTTTTTTTTTGAGAATATCTGCTAAATCATGATTCAATTAATTCCTCTGCTAAATTTTGGCTATTCTGTTTGTTTAAACGAAATTTTTTGGACGATTTATCCATTGTTTGCATGATTGCATGATAAATGTGATAGACCAATAGAATAAAAAGGATTACTTTAAAAAATCCGACCTAGAATGGAAACCTTCCCGGTTACATTAGTTGAATTTTCGTTGAGGCTAAATTTACGCACTGTGTTGTAAAGATCGTGAATTCGAGTTGCTCATTTGCTTATCTTATTACATGAAACTTTTAAAAATTGATGGCAAAGTTTCCTCAATTTTTTTTCAAGTTTCTTCAATTTTGCTGATGGATTATAGGATCTTAGGATTCGACTTAATAGGCTACTTTCTTGATGGAATGAAACATGGAATAAAATTTATTGAAATTAAAAGTTGATGACATCGTTTTTTCATTGTTTTTTTTGCTTTTTGAGATGATTATTTTGCATAAATCATTCCATATAGAATTTTTTATTAAGCTTGCAAACTGTTTCTATTACTTTACTTTAGTTTTGCAAGGAAATTTGCGCTAAACAAAGGGTTTCGAAACATTTTACATTCATTTTTCCATAATTTTACTTATATATAGATAATTTCCCTCACTAAAGTTTTTTCTTTAAATTAGCTTTGAAAAAAATTTCTCAGAATATTTGTCAAGATCTTATTATTGAAAAACATTTACGATTATTTCTTTGCACATTTAGAAGAGAATTGAACTCGGATAAAAGTGTTTTATGTATAAAATCCCGAAAAAGGTAGAAAAAAGTGGAAAAAAAAGTAAATAAAAGAAAATACAAAGATTAATTTTAAATTTAAAGAATAATTTTAATTTAAAACAAATTAGAAGAACAGAATGGAAAAAAGTGAAAAAAAAAATCTATCAAAATTGGGTTAAGATAAAATCGTATTAAATTTGAAACTAGGTAATAAAGGTAGTGGAACCACGACCTATTCCAATAACTTATTGTGCGAATATTTTTGCGAAAAAAAATTTTGGCTCACTAATTCGATTCGGTAGATTTTTTTCCAAACTAATGCATATAGTTGCATTGAAATTTAATTATAAAATATTTACTACAATCAGGATTAATATGGCCAAACAATATTTTATAAGTACATATCTGATTTTGTTTTGGCATCTTAGTAGAAGTCATTATCATCACAGCAGTGCAAGAAGCGTCCGCTGCTCTTAAAATCGGATCAGCAATTAGTTCTCCACATGCTTCATCTTCTAATCTTTAAATCGAAAGGATCTAAACTATACAGCTTCAGTTCACTTTCGTAGCTACCATGAGAATTAGAATTAATTGATACAAAAGTGCTTTCGATTAACTTAATAAACTAAGGATATTTTGGATGGCACCAGAGAGTAATGTAGTAATGAGAGTAATACATTTTTCCGAAAAACATGAATCCGAGCAATTTATATTCGAATTCCAGAGAATTTATTTATATTATTGCATGGTGCAATTTAAATAAAATATAAATATTTAAAATTCCAAAATTAATTAATTGTTCGTGAATTCTTTCCCAAAAACCTTCACTCCATAGCCTATACTGCAGAATGAATTTGCAATTTTTCTATTAAAACCTATCTTCTGAAATTTTTGCAAAGAAGAATGACATACCATTAGGCAATTAATAGTAAGTATTACTTATAGTAAGAATTCGTAATTTATTGGCGAACAATAAAAAATTTTTCTAACTCTAAATACAAGATAATTTTTCAAATAGCATCTTCACACAAACGAAATATTATTTCTCAAGGATTCGTGCTTATTCTAATAGGCATATCACTTTTACTTCATTTATCTGTATTTTAGATACTTCTAGATTCTTCTATCGAAGATTCACTTAAAGACAGAAGTTAGCTACACTACCCTGGTGAATTATGAATTTCTAATTGTTTTTTACGTCGAATTATTATAGAATTATTAAATTATTGTAATAACTTGTTCTAAACGTCAAAAATAAGCAATAAACTGAAAACGTTCGAATAATGTGCCTTTAATTTATTTTTTTCCTCCTTGAGATGTAGATGAACCGTATCCTCGAATAATCTGCTCCAATAATTTATAGTATAAACAGAGGCATCTCATCTCATCAATTTTCTGGAAAGGTTAAATAATTTCAATTTATGACTACTTTACATTATACTTTTCATTAATGATTATATCGAATTATGGTATATTACTCACAGTTGTTAATTGAATATATTATTAATAAGAACTGAGTGGAAGGTCGAGGTCTTTTATACTGATATGTAGAAAACATTTTCTCAAAGGCTTAATTTCATTTTATAACAACTGTGAGTTCCCTCCTCCCTGATCTTCCAAATACAATAAGCCTTGCAGTCAACAACACAAAAATATTAGAATTAAATAAAATGTTAGTAATATCCAAGGACTGTGCATTTTATAAAAGTTATAAGCATTTTATAAACAGTTTGATTAATATTGTCTGTTCTTATCCATATTGAAGATTTCTGGATTAATATTCATTCTCTTTTATTTTTCTTTATTGTATTGCTATTCTCACTCGTTTCTTTTATTATAGTTCATTATCAAGCACATGGCTATATATTTGGCTTCTCATTTATAAATTAAAAAACAATTTGAGGAAAATCGGTGTGAAAAACATGGCCAAATTAGCATAGAGGGCACATTGCTATGACACTCATGCAGATGATATTCGAACGAAGATACATGTATATATGATAAAATTACTTTGGTAATTGAAGGGTTTGTAAGAGATATCTTAAGCATGAATAGTCAAAGGCAGATAGCTTTCTAATATGTTCCTAATTTTGAGGCCAAAATCTTTTTTAAGATCTTAGTAGGATTGCGCATTTAGCTAGATAGATGAAAATTTTTATTTTGAGGCTGATTTCTTAATGAATCGAAAATAGTTTCACAGAACGAAAAAAGGTTGCAGCTTAGAATTTGGAATCTGGTACTTTTTCGACCGTTGATTTTACAGATCCTATCAGCATGGTATATAAGACGAAAAGAATTCCATCGTATTTACATTGCTTTGAAGCCCAATTTTTGCTACTGCTGACAATATTCAATCTAGCGTTACTAACTGCAACATCATCAGCATTATATAAATCTAAATAATTTCTCCGGTACACTACAGCGGTATCGTTGCATGACTTGCAAAGCACCGTCTTGTTGACCGAATCAAAAGCAGCGACAAAATCGATAGAAAATTTTTTTTCCAATGTTTCTAATACCCTTAGTGAGAAAATTCGATGAGCATTGCCATTATCTGGCCTAAATCTGGCTTGGTTAGGGCGCATTCTGCTTTGCTGTGAGTCTATACGAAGCAAAAATTTCCGCAGAAATGTAGCAAGCTGATTGGCGCAATGCATTCTATCATCTCTCTTGGGATATGGAGTCAAAATTTCCTTACTTTAGTATATAATATATCAATACCTCATATAAATTTTACTTATATTGATATTTATAGCTTGATATGTCATCTCTGATTTAAAGAAAGAGAATTTTGATTATAATTATCATAATAATTAATAACTACTATATTATTATGCTTTAAAACATTTTTAACTTTTATCTAACCCTTCTTCGAATATAGTCCCAAAATAGAAATGCCGGCAGAATACAAATTTCGAACATTGTTATTAAAAAAAATATTCCTGTAAACAAGCCTTATTTGTGAGAAAGTAGAAGGAAAAACCAATTAATTTAGAAGTTATAAGATTTTTTCCTCTTCTTTTAATAGCTTTCACCATTATTAGTTAGGCTGGCTCCAACGGCTACAAGGGTAAGACGCACGCTTCCAAGCGACGCGGTCTGATGCCATCGTCGACAGCAATAGAAATTATTTCTTTTTCCATCGTCTAAGTCCATATATTGCTAGTTCACTTATACGTTTAAAATCTTTCCTGACCGTATCAGTCCAGGTTTTGATTGGTCCACTTTGCTTTTGACGCCACCATCACACGATTTAGCAAGTAACGAAATATGCGACAACTCTTGTGGTGGACAACGGAAAACGTGTCCTAACCACCGAAGGCGACGCTAAGGTGATAACATTATTGATAGTATTTGAACGAAGGTGGATGCGATCATGTGATATTTTATCCGCTCGGCGAACCCGTAATATGTACCTTAGACAAGAGTGGTCAAAGGTAGATAGCTTTTTAATATCCTGCACTCTCATTGGCCATGTCTCATAGCCACATAGCAAGATCGAGCGAATCACAGTTATATAGATGCGGACTTTTGTTTTAATGGTAATTTCACAACGACTCCATAAAGGTTTCGTCAACCGGAAGAACACAATTCTAGCCGTGATCCGAGTTGTAATATCATCTTTTGCCTGTCCATTTGGTGTTAGAGTAGACCCAAGGTATTTAAAATCGGGCATTTCCAGTTGGCAATGAATTTACAAAGAGGCATTTCAAGAGGCAGAAGCTTCTTGCACATGAAGAGAAAAGACTTTCGTTTTGTGTACCTGAGTCCTATTCTTGATGCATTTTGTGGCACGTTATTTATCATTACTTGCTTTTCATCATAAATGTCAGCAAAAAAGATGACATCATCAGTGTTTTCAAGATCTGTGATAGGATGCTCTGGACTGATTTGGACAATCCTTGAGTGCCGACAAGCGGTATCCATTACCCAGTCTATCGCAATATTGTGGAGGGAAAGGACACAACCTTGACGGACATCAGTTATTATTTCGAAGTAGTTCCCCATATACACAGAAATAAGTTTTTTTTTAATATAAGAATGAGTTTACAAAGAATTTAAAAATCTAGGCAAGTTTACGTCGCTTTTCTTTAATTAAAGGTATGTATTGTGCAATAAGGCCAAAATTGAAAGTTCCTT